TGCTCCCGCACGCTCCATCCCTGCTGTAGCTCCTTCCGACGCCAATTTATCTCTCACCCGCACTATTTCGGTCAAAACTCCCGAAAGGAAATCTAGCGTTATTTCCCACTTCACGCCCGCCGATCACCGCTACGAAGCCTCAGGATCCGTCACCATCAACAAGTCCTCCGGCGGAGCTTCCCGCCCCGTGACCCCGAGCGCCAGAGTGGTTCCCAGCGCCCCTGCAGCACCCGCCCCCGCACGACAAGCCCCAGCAGCCTCGCCCAAACCAGCGGCAGCCTCTCTCACCCGCACAATCTCCGTGAAAACCCCCGAGAGAAAGTCGAACGTGATCTCCTTCTTCGTCCCCGCGGACCACAGCTACGACGCGACTGGCTCCGTCACCATCAACAAGTCATCCTAATCTACGTAAACACGAAGCGCCTTGCGAACGAAGCGAAACTTTTAACACGTGGTGGATGATGGGCTAAGCTTTGTCATTACAACAGAAAAAGAAAAAAAATAAATACAAAAAAAATAAAGCAGGGTGAATACCTTGAATAGGGTGCGACTGTTCTTAACAGGGTAACTTTTTTTTATATTTCTTACTTAACTAAGTATTTATGTAATTTATTATGCAAATTAACTTTTCCTCAATTTCATCCGAGACACCATTGCCTATAATGCTATAATGGCTGTAAATTATTTTCACGATGAAATGACAGCGGTGAAAGTAAGAGTTCTTGTATAAAAAATATTATATTTATTGTAAATGTCTACGCCAACCAATCGACGATGAAAAATAAAACAGACTCTGATGTACCTGCTGCCTTTTTCTTTACCGAGTTATGACTCCCAACAAATACAGCTATATGAATAGATAGACATATTGATTGATTATTTAAAATTATCTACCGCGTCAACAGCTAAGTAGATAGACAGATGTGCAGATAGATAAAGATGTAGGTACACCCATATATATGTACAAATAGATATATGTGAGTATTTACGCATTCACATGTACAGATACATGAATAGATAGATGTGTAGATAGATAATAACGTAGATAAACATACGTTCGTTAATATTCATCCTAGTATTTGCAAATCTGTCTATATAAAAGTACAAAAAACACTTACATATGTGCACGCCTCTGAATACATACCTTCAGATATCTTCTGTATTATTTAGTTTTAAAATATATTCATTGAAAACAAGAAAGAAAGAAAGAAAAACAGGTTGTGAAAGACACCATTATTCATCTACTTCTGCTCATGAACTTTTAAAGAATCCAAACGTTGTACTTTTCACACCACAACAAAGAAAAATGAGCCCAAAAAAAAAGAAAATAAATAAAAAGAATAAATAATAGGATAGAGGGGCTATATATCGTACTACTAGTGGAAAAAAAAATATTCAGAAAAAAGTATAAATAATATAAAACAAATTTACATGCAAGAAACTTTTGGTATTTCCCCGATTTATGTCATAATTGTGACAAGAAATTTTCATATTGAAAATAATAATAATAATAATAATAACAATAATAACAATAATAACAATAATAATAATAATGATAATGATAATATTAGAATAAATAAATAAAAATCAATAAAGGGGTGCATTTTGTAGGTCCATAACACATGGTCCATACAGCACCACCAAATGGACACTTACACTGGAGGGATGACAGATAATTATATGCCTTAATAACGCCATATAATAGAAAGATATTATTCTAGTCAATCCTTTACTTCCTGACACTTCTTCTTTACCTGAAAAAAATGTTCCAGGATAGGAATATATTGTGGTAGGGTTATTTATAAGCCACATCAAGTGTTTTTTTTTTTTATTGATAATAAACTATTTCCATAAAAAGGGACAAAATTGTCTCTTTAGGAGTACAAGAACATACTCTGCACCTGAATATTTCTCAGATTTTTTTTACTATTATTTTCTATAGAAACACTAAGGCACTTACCTTTCATTTTATAAGATTTGTGCAAAAATATGTCCTGAAAAAGTGCATCATTTTCTCAGTTGACCTCCTGTATGAAATTGAAAAAAGAGGAAAAATTCTTTCCGCAAAAACTTGTGTAAAATAGTATGCTTGTACGGGGAAAATAATTTCTCTCGTGATTATTTTGTGTATGTGTATTGCAGTCCTTGACAATGAACGGTCTAGCAACTTCTACTCTTTCTTTCATTTTTTTTCTGTCAAATCTTGTGCACTTGTCGAATGGAAATGAAGTAGCAAATGTAGATACAAGATTCACTGCTTTGTTGTCAAACCATTTCACAGCTGTTATTTTGCTACCACTCTCATATACTGTTTCCCATTCATCGTGAGACCCACGCCCATGAGCTTGGAGTTGTTTATCTGATTTGAACGTCAGGCTTTGTAATCTGTTTTGCTGAACAGTTCCACACCACTATATACCCCGTGAAGCTAAGTGATCTATGAGAGGGAAGGAGGTAAACCAATTATCAAAATATAATTTTCGTTTCTTGAATGGGCGTGTGGACTCAACAAGATGGAGCATTGAATTAGCAGTTATGGGTTATTTACAGGCTCTCATTTACCAACATAAGGCATGAAATCCTATACCAGACCCATATCTTATATCCACAATAATAATAATAATAATAATAATAATAATAATAATAATAATAATAATAATAATAATAATAATAATAATAATAATAATAATAATAATAATAATAATAATAATAATAATAATAATAATAATAATAATAATAATAATAATAATAATAATAATAATAATAATAATAATAATAATAATAATAATAATAATAATAATAATAATAATAATAATAATAATAATAATAATAATAATAATAATAATAATAATAATAATAATAATAATAATAATAATAATAATAATAATAATAATAATAATAATAATAATAATAATAATAATAATAATAATAATAATAATAATAATAATAATAATAATAATAATAATAATAATAATAATAATAATAATAATAATAATAATAATAATAATAATAATAATAATAATAATAATAATAATAATAATAATAATAATAATAATAATAATAATAATAATAATAATAATAATAATAATAATAATAATAATAATAATAATAATAATAATAATAATAATAATAATAATAATAATAATAATAATAATAATAATAATAATAATAATAATAATAATAATAATAATAATAATAATAATAATAATAATAATAATAATAATAATAATAATAATAATAATAATAATAATAATAATAATAATAATAATAATAATAATAATAATAATAATAATAATAATAATAATAATAATAATAATAATAATAATAATAATAATAATAATAATAATAATAATAATAATAATAATAATAATAATAATAATAATAATAATAATAATAATAATAATAATAATAATAATAATAATAATAATAATAATAATAATAATAATAATAATAATAATAATAATAATAATAATAATAATAATAATAATAATAATAATAATAATAATAATAATAATAATAATAATAATAATAATAATAATAATAATAATAATAATAATAATAATAATAATAATAATAATAATAATAATAATAATAATAATAATAATAATAATAATAATAATAATAATAATAATAATAATAATAATAATAATAATAATAATAATAATAATAATAATAATAATAATAATAATAATAATAATAATAATAATAATAATAATAATAATAATAATAATAATAATAATAATAATAATAATAATAATAATAATAATAATAATAATAATAATAATAATAATAATAATAATAATAATAATAATAATAATAATAATAATAATAATAATAATAATAATAATAATAATAATAATAATAATAATAATAATAATAATAATAATAATAATAATAATAATAATAATAATAATAATAATAATAATAATAATAATAATAATAATAATAATAATAATAATAATAATAATAATAATAATAATAATAATAGTAATAATAATAATAGTCATAATAATAATAATCATAATAATAATAATAATAATAATAATAATAATAATAATAATAATAATAATAATAATAATAATAATAATAATAATAATAATAATAATAATTCATGGAGTTTCTTAGGAATGTATTGTTTCATAGATGAAATCCCCTTGAAAGGTAATATCTGCTCATCTATACATAAATATTCAGTCATGGGGATCTCTTTGAATTTGGATCTCAGGTTTCGACAGCTTACTTTTGATAATTTGTCATTTGGATTTATTTGGGAATTATATTTTACCCAAAAGGGACATTTATTTAAAAGCGGACAAATTCATCCTTGTAGGAAGTAAAGGGCTAAAAAACAATAATTTGAGCTCGGTCTCTCTCTCTCTCTCTCTCTCTCTCTCTGGCCGCAATCAAAAACAAAACTAAACTAAAAAAAAAAAAAAAAAAAAAAAAAAAAATCCATTTCCTTGAGCCTAAACGTAATCGACTGCTATTGGCAATTATAGTGATAAACGTGAACCCTGTACATGACACTTGTAGCCCTTCCACAAAAAGACTGCCATTAGCTAATCAAATTCATAACACAAACCAACCACATGAACTTATCATGTCTTCGTAACACCAAGTTCTCTAAAAACCCTTTTCGTGTTAATCTAGAATACCATATAAACATCATCGATACACACACACACACATACACATACACATACACACACAGACATATATATATATATATATATATATATATATATATATATATATATATATATATATATATATATATAACAACACTGAAAGGGTCAAAAATGAACAAAATTAACTTGCCGCGTATCAGTGGCATCCCCATCCGCGAGACAGCTCAAGTGTCACTCAGGCAGCAGTGTTCCAAGCACAGCCGCAACGAAACAGTAAAGAGTTACGTTTTAGCATTTTAGCGCATTTGTACCTTACAGAGTCCAGTACGAATCAGAACCCCTTTCACCCTTAAATAATTGATGAATAATGAAATAAATAAACCAATATTAACAAATTGCATGAAGACTTATTCACTTCGTATTCCAATGCGGGGACGTCGATTACGCAGCCAATATAGAATTCCGGTGACTATGTCCTGCAGTATTCATTATTTTCAGCCAACTGAGAATCCCCTTCAGTGGTGTATTGTTCCCTTACTTAAAGCCTTTAGAAATATCACAGTATTTTTCCAAAGGTAAGCATACGCACACACACAAAAAAAGATAAATATATGAAAGTAAATCTATAAAAATGAAAAAAAAAAATAAATGAAAATAAAATCTCCCCCTCCCCCCCCCTTCCTCTTTAAGACACTAGTATCATCAAAGGAAGTTACTTTGTGAAAATGTGAAAGGGTGTTAGAGAGGACAATTAGGCTGAAACTTCAAAGTAGAAAGTGTAGAGGAACGCCGAGGAAAGCAAATATATTTCTTCTTTATTTATTATTATTATTATTATTTTCATTACATCTAGTAAATTCAATTATTTAGTAAATTAAATCCCCTACTGCACCTGTGGTATATTATTAGTAAGTATATTATCATCAGTAAGAGGAAAAGTTGTAGCTTAAGGGAATAACGAAACTCTGAATGATTGAATGCGGAAAAATAAGAGGTTCAGTTACATAGAAAATGGGAAATATTAACTTAAAGAAAACTGTTGGACTTCCATTAAGAGGGGTGACTAGTACTGGTCACTAGATAAGCAGTGTGACTATATTCCTTGGTAACTGTCCAGAGGTCTTGATCATAGATATAACACTGAAACTGAACCTGATAACGAAATTATAACATG